CACAAGCAAAACACCTACGATGTCATTGTAACTTACCAAGTTCCACATGGTGAGAAACTTGACCACTCCAAGTTTGACGGATATTTCGTTTTCACCGGGCAGCATAGGGAGGTTCAGGCGAAACGTGCCCACGAAACCGCCATACGAGGAGTTGATAACCCCAGCCAGGGCAACAAGCGTTTTTATCGTCACCATGGTGATTACTACTCGCGGATTTGCCCCAGGCAGATCCTGTTTCTCCCGACCTAGATTCGCACTGTCTCGCCGGCAGGACGATGGGCGTATTTAAGCGGAGCGCTATCTCGCCGGGATAAAGGAAGTTTTAATATCGATGTATCAGTGTAAACACGAATCCGGGAGCAAAGGCTGTGCATTTTCACCTCACGCACGCCTATCAGAGGACGAAGTCCACGTAGTTCTATGTAACCGCTCGAAATTAGCGCATTACGATGCAACACTCGATTGACAGGTGACTTGTTCGGCTTCTCTGACCTCGTACAGTGCAATTTATTACAATACAATTATTTAACTGTAATGGTTTTCTGACCTTAATAAAAACACAGACAATACAATATTTTTTTAACAATTTTTTTTATGTTTCCACCCTAGTTGGGGATCTAGGGTCCAGGTGTGTCGAAAAATACTTTACAGTTGACTGTACAGACCAACCGCATTTCGTTGGGGATGTAAATTCGCACCCCCATTAAGGGTAGTAAGGGCTTTTAACTGCCCTTTATTCTGGAAAGAGAAATAAAACCACTACGTCCTCCACATAATTATCCAGAAATGTGTCGTCCCATACTAACCCAAGAAAACAAACATTCAATTCTATGTGCTCGGTCGCTAACGAACCTTAGCGATATGGCCCCAGAAGACGCTAAACCAGATGCTTTAGAGGCCGAAAGAGCTCTTTAGAGGCCGTTAATAACAGATAATTCGTCATAATGGTGAACTCTGGGAGTGAAGACATGCCTTCGTATTGGAGAACACTCTGGCGGAACTGTTTATCTATGACCTCTTATCTGCACTTGTTACGCTGAGGTCAGAAAACTGGCCGACATTCGGGAACCAGAGCGTTGATTACATAAAACGCTTCTATTTTTATTTATTTGTTTATTTAACGCCAATAACAGTTAAAGACTGCGTGTGACGTTCTATGGGGAGAAGTGTATTCTGTGCATGTCTTAAATTCGGGGATCCGTACTCCAACCCATATACAAGTTGAATTCTGAATACAGATCTAAAATTAACTTCTCTGGCAAGAATTGATATGAAAATATTTGCTTCCATGTAATAAAATCTATTTTTGAGGCAATTCACTTATACATTTGGGCTCTAATCCCCCATCATGTCCTTCGTGAAGGAAGATACTTCTACCGCGACAACATGGAGAACGATAATTTGAATAACTATATTTCCCAAATAACTCTAGAAGACGTGCACAGATAGTGAAGTTACATTTACGTCCAGAAGCAAAACAAGGAGCTATCTCAGCATTCGCTCGAAGGATCAGGGACGAAAAACCTAATCAAGATGGAGGTTATTGACCTAGAAGCTGAGATAGATTACTTGTTACAACGCTGTAACGCTTGCAATACTTATTACGCTTCTTTATACGTCCTCGCATACCACTTATGTTTGGGGAAAGTGTTTTAAAGCTGCAGCAAAACACGTCCATTTTTCGATAGAAAAACTCGTACTGTAGGTCTCTGATATCATAAAAGTGGAGAAATTTTGTTTATATAAGGAGCTACTCAACTCACGGACGTATATGTTAAAATAAGTGCATTGTAAAGTTTGCGGCTCTATAGACCATCATAGATGAGTTAAATCATGCTAACAAGTGTCAGAATTCCTCACTGTATACAAATTTAATTATGTTTTGAGAATATTCATGAATTTTCTCTTCAGAGAATTGTGGCCCTAAATTCGATTGCACATTTTGACCATCATTTCTATTTCGGAGATTCCAGATATTCAAAAAAAATATTTTAGTCCTTCTGGATCCTCGACCTAAATAACATCACATTTCTTCATTATTTTATCTGCGACGACATGCATCGTTTCGAAAAGATAATTTTTCATTAACTTTATATCTTCGGCTAAAAATTACTTCAAAATCTTTGTTTATGTTCAAGATGCATACATACTGTATATCAACATGCCTGTTCAGGAACAGCGACAATATAAATTTTGAGTTTAAATTATTATTCTGAAAAATATTGCAAAGTACGAATATCTCATAAAGTATTATTTATTTCTTCGAAATATGTAGTATAAATTCGTAGGAAAATTAGTATTTAGAAGTTCTTCCTTGTGTTGCATTTTTTCTACTAACTTACAAAGCCCATGAATACGTTATATTTTAATGTCATTTTCCAAAATAAAATTTTCAGCAAAACACAAGACATTCCTTAAAATGAAGGGAAAGTATTATAAAACACAACATACTTTTTTTTGCAACTAATATTGCCTTCGAAATCGCAACTATTCTTCATATGCCATATAGGACACTCCTTAAAAGACACTTTGAAATGTGACATTTGACCACATCGTTCATTCCCATAAAATTTAAAAACTTCATTTTCGTTACTTAATTAAAGAAAGTTTAGACACCTTTTCAAATCCTAATACTTTAAACGAGAGTTGGATTATCGATCTACACTGAATTAGCAAAAACCTAACTTGAAATAATTTTGGAAACTGATACATTCATAATTTTCTCTTATAAAAACATAACATATGAGTTGATTTTTGCGTCTGATGTTTACTAACCAAAAGGTGAGATAATTTTGTTAAATTAATTCGAGGAAACACTTCGGAAACCGTTGTAATATAAAATCTTAAGTGGGTTTGAATATTTCTTCCTCGGCCCAGTAATAAATTGATGTTTGGAAGATCAAAAAGATCAATATATTTCAAGTCAATGAAGAACAGTACACCATGAATCAAATTCTCGTCAATTCCTTCCATCACATAATCATTTATATTTATACGAATGTTTTCTTCCTAAGTCCTTGAGTTTTGATATCAATAAAAATATCCACAGAAAAACAAAACACGATAAGTGAATTAGGAGTCATTCTCAAAAATACCTATAACGTTTAACTCACTTAGAACGCAAGGGATACTTCAAAGAACAAAGTACAAAACTGTAAATCGCTCAAGAGATATCTTCGAAGATTATGTAGTTTGCAGGAGGCAAATAAATTGTAATTGCACGATAATTTTAAGTTAAAAAGCTTGTTATAGCTGATTATTCTGCAATCTGTGACAAGTTCCATTCTATTTATTCCTATTACTTCACCTCTTTCATACCTTCTGATACATATATCGTTCGAACGATAAGCAACGTCATTTCAATATATTTTCTCACATGAGTAGTATAGAGAAAGTTATGTCATCCTATAAAAAATCGATGACGAGGTTTTGGCTCGTACATACGTATTTACTATAATACAATATATGTACATGCAACATAATGCGAAATAAACGAGTTATTTATATAATACCACAGGCTGAGGTGGCTCAGGACATCAACTGATTTCACTGCAGTGCCTCTGATCGGGAGGTCTTACGGTTTTGTTCCTTGTCTCATCCTCTCCATTAACCTACACACACACACACACACGTCGGGAGCATAGAACGTGACCTGCTGGTGGGAGTTACCTGGTCGGGTAAAATCCCAAGAGCTGACGGGTAAGTTGCGCCGAGTCTTGCCATCCAGCAGGAAAAAGCACCCCCATCCCATTATAAAGACATCCACTACACTTACGGGACTAACGACCACAGCCGTTTACGCGCCCGAAAACACGAAAGAATCAATCGACCAACATATAATATCAACATCCCATTACTAGGACATCAATATTATTTTTCCTCCACAGAATAGACAAAGTTATGTAATGCTGCGCGAAAAAACGGCAAATTTTAACAGAAAAACGTATTACAGGGCCCTGGTAACGAAAAAGTAGATAAATTCATTTGCTAAATATATAAAAAAACCTATCGCGTGATGTAGCCAGAGACCATGTTTCGTGAGTCCTTGATACAGAAAAATCGAATGATGGTAAAATGTCCGTCCATAACAACTCTAGCGGCTAAATCCGTTCTGCCGATTTTCTCCAAAATTGATATTCCCTAATCGATCTGGCTCATGTCACGGCCCCTGGAATTTCAAACCGATATTTTGATTTTTTTTTGGGGGGGGGTACTTTACATGAAGGTCCTGAGACATTTTCAATTAAAAAAAACAAACATTCTTTTGTTGTTGGGTAATGTTAAGGACGTTTAAGAGAATGGTACAGGTCTCATATTCGTTGAAAACCCTGATTTTTCGAAAACTGCAAAAGTTCAAAACTTTTTCGGAGTCTTATTAGAACAAAAATATTAAAGATATATTTTCCCTTAATGAAATGTTTTTTAAAGAAGAATGAAATTTAAAAAAGTCAACAAAATCCAAATTTTTCCAAAATGGATTCCTACGAATCATCACGAAAGCTCCCTGGTAATTCAGAATGCGCACAGTTACATAATGAACTTTGCATAACACCAATCCCCGTCCATTTTCCCCTCTTATCCGTAAAATTCTATTCCAAAATATTAAAGATCTCTTCAGCCATTCACTTTCACATAAGCAACATTCTCATCGCAAACGATTAAAAAGAAAGTTAGCAAGAGTGTTTTTCGATCCCCCATAGACATAAGCCGATGAGTCTTTCTCATTAAAAATTACTGTATATAGCCACTGTATTGTATAATACCTAATCTCTTATAATAATACCTATAATTTCTTTTCCGCGGCTTTGATGCGAAGGAGAGACCATTCGGGTGAATACCAGAATTCGAAAGATTAGAACGCGAAAGGATGTAGGTATTGTAATGGCTTAAAGGCCTTCGGCCTAGCCACATAGGATCAAATAAGCTAATTTGTTTGTAATAATTACCTATGAAATAAAAATAAAATATAATACCTAACACTAAATTTATGTTCATAATGTCTCAAGATTTTGTATATAAATCATTTTAATGTATGAATTTTATGCGGCTGCAGAGGGCCAATGGCCAAGATAGAATACATTTTTAAAAAAAGATTGAAATAAGGTCATGTATATTTTTTGAAAATTTGAGTACTTTTCACGTAATTTAGCGTGAAAATACGGGTTAGCTAGTACGTGCTGATTTAGCACCACTTATAGTTTCAGTGTGGATGAGTTTCATGAGCAGATCTTGTGGTGTGCTGGCAATGTGAATACAACGCGGTCGACAATCCTGCAGGTCACGGAAAATGCTCAGACAAACCGGACCTCTCTAGCGTTCGCGCTGAAGCTCAAATGAATATCACGTGACAAATGACGAAAGCCCAGGGAGCAAGTGGTGGCAATAAATCCAGTCAAAGAACCTTGACAATGGAATGTACGGCCTTTGCAATGTCACACCACCCCAAACACGCTGACAGGTCGTTGGCAAGAAAGCAAGTAAGATTTAAGTAACAAAATGACAATTAAAACAAATGGAAGGTAAATTTGAATTGTGTTTGAAAATTTACGATACGCTTCTTTTTGATTATGAACAAAAAATGAAAAATTTCAAATTCCTATTTCCCTCTATCAAGGTGAATAGATAAATGTTTAGATTAGAAGGGGTTTAATTACAAAAGGCAAGTTGTTTTGTAGAATTATTTTCTCAGAAAGTGAATTACATTAAAAAAACTGATGTTCACTATCACAATTATACAG